GATATTACAAGTTCTGAGTGATATTCTTCTATGAAGGATGGATCACTTTATCTCACTCAATCACTCTTACATTAAGTCTCTCAATATCACATATATTAGCTCAAGATGGACAAGTTATACTGGTCGAAGTTTGCTAAGACTTTGGAATGGATGATTCTGGATATCATCTCTCTACTTCTGCTCCTTAACAATTTGTCTCCTTTTATACTCTTCTACTTCCAAACTAGTTATTGGACAGTCTTCAGAGGATCATCTTCCAATCTTTACCTTGGACGGATTTATATAAAAAGGATTGAGTAGCCATTGAGCGACAAAGTTTGAATCGCACTAAATCTGGTCACCCATACAACCAGAACTTCGGTTTCGATAAGCAGAGCTTCTTCATTTGGCAATAAACTTGTTGTGGGGATAATTTTCAATCAATCAAGGATATTTCAAGATGTAAATATTCTTTGCAAAATAGCCTTTTAATATCGAATCAATCAATACTTTCCAATGGTGAAATCCAAGCCAGATTACTAGCCGTTGTTCTGAGTTTGTGATAGCATCTAGATAAAGTCTAATCCTTATCTCGTTCTTTAGAACTTGAGTCAGAATGGTTTGTTCTTTAATTTCTGAATCTTTTGTTTCCAATATAAACTGAAATTCTCAACTATTGTATACAATATCTGAATTTTGTCTTTTGCTGTGTAGAACTTAGATTTTTCCTTCTGATCCTTGTAAAGTCTGGACTTCCAAAAAATGACTTCCTGGACTTAAAAAATCTTCAAAAGTATTTGTCAAACTTATAATAACTCTTGGACAGTTTATCAACTTCAAAATATATTAGGAGGTTTTCTCAACACAGTTTTTTTAGCTTCTATAGAAGCCGTCACCCGCGGTCCCTTTTTAAGTAGTGCCACTTTGGATGATGAGCTCATTTTGTTGGCAAAGTAGTGGCTAATTCTGAAACTTTGCAATCTGGAGTTTACTAATTAAACTCAGGTTTGTCATTAGTAATCTGGGGATAGTTGCATATGGTGATAATAATCTCCTTGGGTGATGCAGGTCTTCCGATTCTTTGACAGAAAGCAATTGAAAGTATATCGCCATGCAGAGGAACATAGTAACGCACAGCTTTTGGCGGTTTTCTCTTTGGAAGTTCATCTACTCGCGCAGAGTAAGTATATGAGCACATGCAACGTACAAACTCATTGGTGAAATGAAGTGAACTTTATGATTGTACATGTGTGTTGTCGTAATTGTGGGTAGACTTTGTGGTGGCACCTACAGGAGTGTGATTCAACAAATTCAATTGATTCATATTTATCATACCTTTGCTCTTCAGCTTGTTTTACCAACAATATTTAGCGCTTTAAGTACTTAATTCATGCATCACATCCTTTTGGACTGGCCATGAACTTTAGTTCGAAATATGTTTTGATTAATGTGCCGGTTTTGATAAGAAGAAAAGATAAAACAATGTGCGATTAGAGAATCACCGAAAGCAAGAAGCGCATACACCCCTCTTTCAAGACAGGCTATGACGTAGCCCAAGGTCGACTACTCAAACAATAGGATCGGGAGAGTGACTTGCACACATGGAAACTCCGTCGCAAAATCGGGCAAAATTTCAGTTCTGCACTAGTTTGGGAAAATGGGCATAACTCTGTCAAATTATATTGGAATGACCTTATTCCAAAGCCAAAAGAACAAGGACTCCTGGATCTATAACTTTTGTGTTTTGATTTTTCTCAAATAAGCACTGTGGAGTTGTCGAGTTCAAAAGGAAGTGGACGGTCGTGACTGATCAAAATGCAGGAAAGGAAAGGAACTTCAAGGATGCTCTTCTAGGCCTTCAAGGAAGTTGAAAGGGCATCAATTCTTCCAGATTGATAGCTGCAACTCTTCAATGATGCAGACTTAAAAAGCTTCGACTTTTTAAGGACGGAGTGAAAACTTTTCTAGGTTTTCAAGAGATTTGAACTTTTCAAGGTTCAAGGGAATTGCACTAGGCAAATTTCTTTAATCAAATTCAATCTGCCTTTTGATTACATAGACTTGATGGCCTTTTATACAAAAACAAAAGAAAAGAAAAAAGCTAATCCTAGAAACCATAAGCTATTAAAGTACATAGAAACTAGAAGCACTTAGAAACTAGGTAATATTAAATGTACAATATTTCCAATGCTAGTGGCCATCTCGAGAAGTCTTGATGCAAGCTTCGACGCATGGAAAATGATAAAGTCAAAGATGAGGCTTTTCACTTATCAATCTTATCGATAAGACTCTTGGTGTTTGTCGATTTGTCGATCTTGAATACGAGCTGATCTTCTTGGCTGAACAAGCTAGTCTTGAAGCCGGGCTGCGTCAGGCTATTTCAAGCTAGCAGTGTTTAGCTTATACATTACACTGTAATTTTGTCCCTAATTCCATCACATCAAGGAGGATTTTGTGCGTACTACAAACATGCCGCTTTTATGCACTCAAAGCATGATGTTGACCGCCAAGGTGAGTTTGAGTTCTAGGCCGGTCCATTGGACAAATTGAATGTTAGCATTCTTCACAAGTCAATACTCATTGCTTGACTAAACCAAGTTGTATGAGAAATTGCATAGACCACGAGGCTTTAAGATTAAAAGGATTAGTCAATTATTGTGTTGCCCTAATCGCGACCCTCCCGAGTGAGTGTCGAGATAATGTTGAATTGACGACCAACGGTCCTCAATCGACGTGGATTCTCCCAAACTCTTACCTCACGCGAGGTTGGGATTTTACAATTGGAATAAATCTATCAACGAAGTTCAACTTAACTAGGAGTTTCCACTAGCCTATTGGGGTTATCTAGGAGCCAAATTTGATATGTGAGGATACCTCACTTTCTATGCAGCTAGAGAACCAGGATCAAGAACTTGATTACATCAATTGTCTAACAAATACCCTTTCAATACCCTAACTTGATTGATTTGTTATCAAAATGATTCAGGCAATCTTTTGCCATTTTATTATCCTACTCCACTAAACAACGTTCATGCATGAGTGCACAATCAGAAAAAAATAGACAACCACAACCAAAGTAAATTTAATGAAGTGTCGGATAAATAATGTAAATGGCCTTGTTATTAAGTCCTAGGTAAGTTTGGTATATGTCAAAGGTGCTCACTAAATCGCTAATCTAAACGCATGCTAACTAAATAAAACTTATCTGACCAAAAAAAAAACTAAATAAAACTTCTTCTAAACTATTTTCTGATTTCTTTCAAATTTTCTATATTTTTTGAGTTTTAAAATATTTTTTTAATTTTCTAATTTTTTTTTTAATTCCAAAATTGGGGATCCGGACCGGGCCATGGCCCTTTGTGCTGGCCTCATTGATCTGGGCTAAGGACACTAAGAAGGACACGCAGGTGGTGCAGGGGTGCCAACTTACAGAGAGACACCGACGTCTGATGAGGGTGCTGGTATGAAGCTCGATGATTGGTAGGGACCGTCCGGAACTTAGAGATCACTTTGGAAAGCGCTACAGGGAGTGGCCGTGAAGACTGGGCAAGACGCCTCGGTGGCGAAGCTTGATGGACGGCGTGGTGACGGGGCCGCTGGGCGCTCACCAGGACAGCAGGACCAGACCGGACTCTGCCGCAAAACTGCTGGAGGCAGTCGACTTGCTGGTTGCTCGCCTGGAGGTTTGGCAAGGACCAGTATTCACCGGGGGAGCGCCGGGATTGACCAGAGATCGCCTGCTACTGGCTTCGCTCGGGGAAGACGGCACAGCAAGAAGAGCTGACGACGGAAGACACGAACGTCGGTCGCCAGGGAGTCTCCTTCTCTGGACGTTCTCTTTGGTTTATATCGCGAGTCTTCCGTTCACGATCGTCTCCTCTGCTTTCAAATTCTGCCAAATCTCCACAAATATTCTCTATGCTCGTTGCCTTTTTTTTTTTTTTGGGTAAGGTAAGAGGATTATATACTTTTCAATTCACAAGATACAGCAGAAAAGCCGTACACAAAAACCTCGTACCTAACGCAATACAGGTGTTGCGATAGTTGCAAAGGTGTAGCGGCTGACTAAAGCTAGCGGGCGCTACAAGCTGCAGGGGCCCGGGTGATAAGAAGAACGAGCTGAGCCTCTAACAAGCGGACTAAAGAGCCACAAAGGAACAACAACTACAGAACATTAAGAAAACTAGATGTCGGGATGTCCCAGCTGGCCTGGATTCTTCTATTGCACGGAGTATCTGCAACAAGCTTGAGAGAAAGAGCCTTATCTCGAACAGCTTTGACAAGGTGGTTCCGCATCGCAGGCAGGAAAATGGTCCCATTTCTAAATAGGAAGTTGTTACGCTCTATCCAAATGAGGTGGCATAGAGCTCCAAGTGCAAACCAAGCAAGGCGGTGATGGAAGCTGTTGCCAGCAATGGATGTGGACGCCCAGCGGAGAAGATGTTGCCAAGACCCGTTGTGCCAGGGGAGGTTAAATTTGGCGGCCCAAAATGACGCCAAAGAGCCCGTATAAGTGCAACCAAAGAACAGGTGATCAACGGAGTCTGGCCTACATTGGCAGTAAGCACAAAGTCCTTCAGAGATTCTGTGATAGGAAAGGAGGAGGACCTGGGTCGGAAGCCTGTTGAGGGTCATCAGCCATAGCAAAAACTATGTCTCGGGGCAAAACTGCAGTCCCAAATGAATGAATCCCAGTAAACATGGTGTCCCTTTTTCCGAATTAAATCCCAGGCCGAGGAGATAGAGAACACTCCGGAAGGATGACCTTGCCAAGTAAGTTGGTCCGGCGACTCCGTCACCAGCTGGGGGGTATGTTCAGTCCAGGAATTGAAGGATTGTATCACGTTAGACAGGTGCCATTCGGAGGACAGGAAATCCCTAACCGAGGCCGTTCTTGCAATGCCAGAGCAGAATATGTCTCTATTAGAGAACAATTTATAGAGTGGGCCTTTATCATGCCAGAAGTCGAACCAGAAAGAAGTGGAAGATCCATTGCCAATTCTCCATTTGAATTGCTGCTCGTTGCCTTTTGCTCTCCATATTTTCAAAAAAATTTAGGTGTTGGGACCGATAAGAACGACGGGGTTGCCAAAATTTAGGTGTCGATAGTATTTACATATCTAAATCTATTTGACTGGCTAAATCAACTTAGGCACATTTTAGATTTGTATCCTTGAGAAGATATATTTGATATCAATGATATCTCTCTGCGAAGGATTTGAAATCTTTCTTTAGGAAATAGGGAGAGAAGAAACAGATAAGTACAATCCTAGGTATTTTCGCTACGTGCCTCTGATGGCTTCCTCCGTCGGCATCTTCTCTTTCGTCGTCGCCCTCTCTATCCGTAAATCCGCTGTTAACCCCGCCAATGATATATGTCCGGTGAAGTTCTGCGGTCCTCGCGGACCCGAGATCCGCTTCCCTTTCCGAGCAAGCGGCTTCCATCCCAAGCGATGTGGCTATCCGAGCTTCGACCTCGCGTGCAACGCCCATGGCCAGGCGATCCTCCAGTTGCACAGCTCGCAAGACTTCGTGGTCGACCGCATCAATTATGAAAAACAATACGTCGTGCTCAAGGACCCGGGCAATTGCCTAGCGAGGCGGCTTCAGAACACGACGTTCTCGAGCTCGGTCTTCGTGGCGCAAGAGTACGGGAGCTTCACGTTTGCGAATTGCTCGGTCGATCTCTCGGCTTTCGGAATCGAACGGGTGGGCTGCCTCAGCCGCGGACACCACACAGTACATGTTGCTCCCGCCGGTTCATTCACTTGGTTACTCTCGTACTCGCTATGCCATACTTGGACAGTATCGGTTCCGGTGGTGCCGCCGCCGCAATATCCCACGAATATAACTGCGAGTGTTGTCCTGAGGTGGGATGTGCCGGATTGCAGATCGTGCGAGAAGAGCGGCGGGAGGTGCGGGTTGAAGGGTTCCGCGGGCTTCGCTGTGGGATGCTTCGGTAAACATGGCAAACAACATGGTACGTACTTAGATTCGCTAGTTTCTGCCTGAAAATAATAACCTATCTTTATAATTTAGTTATTTGAATCAGTGCTTTAACAACATTCGTTGATATGATTGTTTTGGATAATTTCATTGAATATCTGCGCTTGGCATTGGCATTTTAATGGTATTTGGGTTAATGGACTTCTCTTGTCATTGGTACGTCCGTATTTGTTTTTCCAACTCCTAACCCATAATTGATCAGCCAATCATGTAGGGCTTTCAAAGCGTGCCAAGTTGGGGATACTCCTCGGCGTCATGTTGCCCTTGCTTCTTTGCACGTCCGGATTCGCCTTCTACCTAAGCTCGCGCGGTCGAGTCTCCGGGCATCGAGTTGAAAACATCGTCGCAAATGTCACATCTCCATCAAACCCCTCGAGAGAAACTCCACGCACCTCTAATGTTGTCACGGGCATTGAGTCAGTCAAGATGGAATCTTATCCGAAGATTCAAGTCGATGATGATGGACAGGTACCTAGGCCGGACGATAATATTTGCGCAATTTGCTTGTCGGAGTACCGGCCCAAAGAGACGCATCGGACCAAGTGTGGACACTACTTCCATGCGCAGTGCATCGATGAGTGGCTCGAGCAGGACGCATCTTGCCCGATGTGCCGTGATCCCATGGGATACAAGTAAATATTTTTTTTCTAAAGTTACCGTCGTCAAAATGGATACACTAACCTCATTTTACCGCTAATTTTGTAATATTGTTCCATGAGAGTCGAGATATCTACGAGCTTATTTCCTCTACTTCAAATGGGTTCCAGGTTTTTCTTTTGGGGATTAGAGTTGCATGATAATGTGACTGTATAATCCGGCCGATCCAACAGTTCACATGATACCATGCTTGCACCACTACACAAAATTTTCTTCTTCTAAACAAAACAAGCAAGAGCACAACTTTAGGGACGCGATGAACAGTCCCCAGACACAACAATATGGTTCTGAGATCAGCTTATGTTGTGTACTAGGAGCTGTTGGGTAATGCAGGTCTTCCGATTCTTTGACAGCAAGCAATTGAAAGTATATCGCCGTGTAGAGGAACATGGTAACGCACAACTTTTGACAGTTTTCTGCATGGAAGTTCATCTCCTCGCGCAGCATAACTATTTACGCGCACGCAACGTACAAACTCATGGGTGAAATGAACTGAGATTAATGACTGTACATGTGTATTGTCGTAGCTGTGGGTAGACTTTCCGGTGGCCCCTACTGGCGAGTGATTCAACAATTCAATTGATTCATATTTATCATACCTTTGCTCTTCAGCCTGTTCTACCAACTACATTAAGCGCCTTAGTACTTAATTCATGCATCACATCCTTTTGGACCGGCCATGAATTTATGTTCCAGATACGTTCCGGTAGATGCGTGCCGGTTTTGTATGAAAAAAAATGAAGCAATGTGCGATTAGAGAACTACCAAAAGCGAGATGTGAATACACCCCTTTTTCAAGGCGAGCTATTTCGAGTTAGTGGAGTTTAGCTTATACATCACATGGCAATTATGTCCGTAGGTTCCATCAAATCAAGTAGGGTTTTGTGTGACTTACAAATATGTCAATTTTATGCGGCTAGTAGCACGATGTGTACAGCTTAGGTAAGATTGAGTTCTCGCTATGGCCGGTCCATTGGACAAATAGATTGTTAGCATTTTTCACAAGTCAATACTAATTGCTAGATTGAACTAAGTTGTATGAGAAATTGCGTAGACCGCGAGGCTTTAACATTACAAGGATAGGTCGATTATATTATACATAAATAGCAGAAAAATAAACAATATTTGGACAGGCAGGAGGACTAGGTCGATGGCAAATACCACACAAGAACTCTATTCAAATGTATGCTTATATTATCACCAATTCGAAAATCGCATATGAGAATCATCTTTCCATTGGCCATATTTAGTGGTGAAATCGAGCCAAAGAGAGACGACACGGTGCCACTCTCGAGCTCGACTTGACTCATAAATTCGAAGTTCAAAACTCAACTCAATCTCGATTGCATACTTCTTTCCCTGCTTGAACTTGACTAAGCAAAAACCTCGACATACTTGAGCTCGGCGCGATTTTAAGTATATAAACTAAGCATCTTTAGATTTTCTAGCTTAATCGAATGGGACTTGGCTCGAAATCCATAACAAAAAAAATATTTGTATAAAAAATGAGATACTCAATTAGGCTTGCAATTCGAGGCTTGCAAGCTGATCAAGTCAAGTGTCTTTAGGCTCGAACTCAGCTTGACAAGCCACTTGACCTCGACTCGAGCTCAAAAAAAAAGCAAGCCGATCTCGAGCAACTAACGAGTTGAGCACAAATAGCTCACGAGTAGCTTGATTCGCTTGTATCCCTTGCCATAATTCTTACGAAAATCCTTTTGATATGGAACAAAATTTGGAACCAGCCCGAGCATGAGCCAAAACTCCTCCCCAGCACATGGCGAATTCACTTATTCATAGTCCCGATTTCGATATTTTGACTTAGGTATTCTATTTTGATTTCGTGACAGTCATCGCAGTTTATCGCTATGGACACGAGGTAGAAACTCTATTTCTTGCGGTTGACGGAAGTGATACGGGCCCATTCATTTCGGAGATTAACTTTCCGCAAGCTGGAATAGCTCAACGGTACGTTCGTTCAACCAAGCATCTTCTCTGTGTCTTCCTCCTATCGTTTCTCCGCTTAAACACGGATAGTCCTAATAATGTCTGCCGGGTAAAGTATCGTCCACTTCCCGAACCTCGACCCGCTTCCCTTTCGGTTCAGGGACGTCCAAGATGAACACTCTGGCTATCCTGGATTCGATCTCTCGTGCAACAACGGAAGCCAAGCATTCTTCCGCTTGCCCATCTCGCTAGGCCTCTTCAACCACATTGACTACAAGCAACAATACATTTCACACAGAGATCCGGACAATTTCCTCGTGAAGCGACTCCGTAACTCGAAGTTCTCCAGCTCCCTCCTCATGGTGAAAGAGTACGAGAGCTTTGTGTTCGGCAACTGCTACTACGACTTCTCATATGAGTTTGAGAACAGGCGCATGGGCTGTCTCAGTGGGGAACTGACATCTTGTTCAGTTTCACTGACGATTTCACGACGCAGTACTTTTCAGATCGCACATCCATTACTTGGATGATGTTCGTCCCCGTGGCGCGGCAATTTCAAAAAGATGTAATCGACAGTAAATGAATTGTGATCCCAAGTGATTGTCTCTACGGGCTTGTCCTCATGGAACCAAACAACATTATGCATTTGTCTATTACCTTTGTAAGGACATTACGTTTCGCCTTTTCCCTTTCATCGTTTCAACATATGCCTTTCTAAGAACCTACATAACTCCATCCATTCGGGGCCGGCTAAATAAACTAAGGCACATCTTAGGACTCTGTCCTTGAGTAGCTACATAAGATATTAATAATCAATCTTTCTTCAGAAAGAAGAGAGAGAAGAACCCTACTTTCCTAAGTACAATCCTAGCTACTCTTCGTTATGTGCCTCTCATGGCTTCCTCCGCCATCTTCTTCTCTTTCCTTCTCAGCCTCTCTCTCCATGTATCCGCTTACAACCCCAACGATATATGTCCGGTAAGAGTTTGTCACCCTCACGGACCTGAGATTCGCTTCCCTTTTCGAGCAAGAGACTTCCATCCTGAGCAATGTGGCTATCCGGGCTTCGATCTCTCGTGCAACATCCGAGGCCAAGCGATTCTCAAATTGCCAAACTCGCAATACTTCGCTGTCGACCTCATCAACTACAAGCAGCAATAAATGGTGCTCATGGACCCAAGCAACTGCCTAGCAAAGCGGCTTCAAAACCTGATGCTTTTGAGCTCGCCTTTCATGGCGCAAGAGTATGGGAGCTTCATGTTCGCGAGCTGCAGGGAAGATCTATCGTCGGAGCCCGGGATCAAAAGGGTGGACTGCCTGAGCGATCAACAAAACAACGTAATGTTCAGTCCTACCGGGAATTTCTACCCTTTTTGGTACTTCTCGGCGTTCAGATGTCGTAATTGGACCGTGTTGGCTCCGGTGTCAGGGCAATATCCAACGGATATAACTGAGAGTATCGTCCTGAAGTGGGATCAACCGGATTGTGGGGAGTGCGAGAAAAGTGGCGGGAGGTGCGGGCTCAAGGGATCCGCAGGCTCCGATATCGGATGCTTTGGTAAGCATGGTACGTACGTAGATTCACTAGTTTCTGCCCGAACCGAAGTTGATGCATGGAAAGCAATTAACTTATCAACATTATAGACTATTCTATTATTCATCATAAATAATCAATCATGTAGGGCTTTCAAAGCGTGCCAAGTTTTGGATACTCTCCGGCGTCATGTTTCCCTCACTCGTTTGCAAGTCTGGAATCGCATGCTACCTAAGCTCACCTGCTCAACTCTCTAGGCATCGTGGTCGTCGGGGTCAACCTCCAAACGGCGACGATGGTGAAAACAATGTCATTGATATCCCATCTTCTTCAAGCCCATAGAGAGAAACTCGACACGCCTCCACTGGTTTCGCGGGCATCAATTCAGCCACGATAGAATCTTATCCGAAGATTCAAGTCGATGATGATGGACAGGTACCTAGACCGAACGACAATATTTGCGCAATTTGCCTGTCGGAGTACCAGCCCAAGGAGACGCTTCGGACCATCCCCAAATGTGGACACTACTTCCATGCGCATTGCATTGACCAGTGGCTCAGACGGAATGCTTCTTGTCCGTTGTGCCGCGATCACAAAGGGTATGCGTAAAAAATAAATTTATGATTACATTCGAACAAAATGGATATACTGACCTTATTTGAGCACTGACTTGAGATTAGTATATAGGGTCATGTCAACTGTATGTTGTAATATTTTTCTTTGAGAGTTGAGATACCTACTAGCTTAAATTGGTTCAGGTCATTTTTGCAATGCCGTGATGTTTACCCTTCATTTGAGAAAATTTTATGATTTTTTTGGGGATTAGAGTTGCATGATAACGTGACACTACAATCAGGTCAATCCCACAATTTACAGAATCCCATGCTTGCACCACTAAACAAAATTTCCTTCTAAACAAAGTTTTCTGAACGATTTTCTTATCAGTCCGAATGGCACTGCTGGGTTCACTAATGTTCCCCGGAGAGTTTCAGCAGCAAGCCTTGTTGATGTTTAGTACTTATTGTTGGAAATATGGGATAAATTGATGGGTGAATGAATGAGAAATTGATGCTCAAAGAACACCCTTGAGTTGGAAGTGGGAAGTGGAAAAATACTATTCCCACATCGGAAAAGAAAGAAAGCTATGGAGTGCTTTATATACAGTTACACTTATTTGAAGTGGTAACTATAATAGCACAAACTCTCTGCCTCGCGCGCAGGGGGGTGCAAATCCGACACCCGACAAGTTGAAACTTGGGCGTGAGCGCACATCCCGCGTACACGATTGCAGGACCGAAAAGTGGGCCTCGCGACGTGATATGAATCTGTGAGGAAGATGATCGTTCTACGAAGATCTATGAGTTACGAATTGCTGACCTCGACCCCCAATCGAACCTGTGATTAGTAATCTCGGTATGAACGAGACCTGTTGACGAACCTGTGTCAACCAATCCACGCTATAACGCCACGAACAAGAGAATTCGCGATCTTGCTCGATAAGTTGAATTCGATCGCCACAAGGGAACCTTGATAAGATC